GTTCTCAACGCATCTTTCTGCCCTTTACGTCAAACCTTCAAATCAAAGCTCCCCAAAACTCCCATCTGTTCCTTCCACCTCCGTGTTTGTTGTCCTTTTATGGCGGAGGCGGCGCACCGTCAGCCTTCACGGTGACTCAGTCACCACTTTTCTGAGCTTTTCAACCCACCTTTCTCTTTTTTCACATTGCTTCTTTCCATTTGCGTTTTTTTCTATTTTACTAAGGGACATTTGATTTCTTCCAACATTTTGTGGCTTCCGCAATTTACTCAAGAAATCTTCGAATATAGTGAGCCGGTTGAAATTCATCGATCGGACAATATTTAAAATTTAGCAATCGCCCTTCTAAAGCAGTGGAGCGGCTAAATAGACGGGCTGATGTCAGAAGAGTTCGAGGAGCCCGAAAAGGATGATTGGCCAGAGGCACTTCATGCTCTGGTCGAGTAGCCTTGAGTGGAAGGGATTGGCATCGTTGAGGAAGTCCAAGATACCCTAAGGAGGGAGTTGATTCGGAATGAACTTCATGATATCTTTTCACCAGTTCTTTTGGCTCTGTTTTTCTTCTAAAAATCCGTCGGGAAATTTATCGAAGTAAAGGATTCGTATGACTGTTTTTTTTTCATATTGAACCCCTGGCTTTCTTTGGTGGAAATGCTTTGGTTGCTATTGGTCTTTTCCCTTCAGATTCTTCATTTCATTTATTTTTTGATCTGAAACCAATTAGTTGATGATAACCCATACCTGCTCTCTCTTCTTTGAATCTTTAGCTATTAATAAACCTTAGATATCAATAAGTGCCCGTTCCTACAAGGTTTTGCGAGTTCCAGTCATTATATGGCTTCTTTCCTCCTTTCAAGAACACGTGTTCCTGCTATGCCGGAGTTTGTGGCCGTTCAATCGTGTGAATGTGGGGATCTGGGTTGCGCTTGTTCCGCGATTCTGCATGTCCAGTATTATAAATTCTCTGGCCACTCCGTGGCGATATGTTACTGTGTCATACAAAGGTCGATGGCCATTCTAAGAGGTGTGTGCGTGAACGATACGTCTAGCCGGTAAGACGATTGTACACCTCAGGATGTTATGGGTGAAGGTCTGCATAGGATTTCGTCTGATTTGGCTTGTTGTATGTTCGGTCAGGTTTAGCTGTGAGGTCACTTATGTTAGCTCCTTTGAAACCTTTGAGCCTGAATTCCAGTATATCAAAGCATTCCTTGATGTACTAGAGGTCAGTGGTTCTTTTAGCTCTGCTGATTTATCCGAGAAACCCATGTTGCTGTGGTCTAGCTAACCTTGAGAAAACAAATTGCGTATTGGAGTGGTTGTTGTTTTGTTGTTTACAGTTATCAGCACGCCGGAAGTGGCTGCTTTTCCAAGGACCGATTTTCCGTCGCTAGAGCGGTTTTCTGTCGGAGGTGAATGTTTGTGAAAACGTTGTCGCAATAATAGCTGCTTATGCAACCGTTGAGTAGCCAACTTATGCCACCTTCTTGTTTCTCTCATATTTCATACAGGTATTTTTTAATTTTTTTATAACTCTTATCATCGTTCAACAACCCTTTGATAGCGCATATCGAGCCGAATGATGACTGTATTCTTCTAAGTTTAATAGATATCTATGACGCGGAATAGATGAATTTTTGTCATTACTCTGTTCATTGTAGACCATGCGAAGGGCAGCGCAATTAGAATGTGATATGATCTAGCGCATTGTCCAATGCGGGATTTAACTCAGGTGAGTTATGCGTGCCACGGTGGAGGAACGCTGCTGTGCTTAAGTTTCCCTTCGGGTGACAGTAGATCCACCGCTACGACTACCATTCGGCGTATGTGCCGGGGATTCTGTCACGTGAGCGCCCAGAGTACAACTAACTAATGCGTTTTTTAGGCCAACTTTTCTCACTTAGAAGTGAATTAATTAATTCCTCAGTAATATTTCTGCAAGTTGATTGATGGTTGTGTGAAAATCGTTCGTATTCTCCCAGTCAATTACTGCTCGTGACCAAATCCGCTTCGCATAGTCAAATATCAGTCAGAGACCCTGTAGGAAGATTATTGTGGTGGTGCATTCGCAGTCTTATACGGGGGAACTAACCTGTTTCATTTTTGCTCTTCTACTGATTTCCTCGCTTTCACATTTTTCCCATTCAGAGAGCTGGAAATTGAAATGTGATGCGCAGTGTGACTGTTCATACAACAATAATATCATATCATAATATTAAACTAAAATTAATACCCTCAAGAAAAATGATACCAGTCAGAAGCGATTCGGAAAAGGCTAGTACTGCAGGAAGGTCCTAGTTAGGGTTTTTGAACTCATAGCAGGAGATGGGTCACTTTAACATCTCTTCTCTGATTCTTCGATTAGAAAGCGCAGATTTTCCCTTCACTATCATCATCTTCCACAACTTGTTGGCTGCTCATTCACTGTGCTCCTTCTTCCGTTCTCTCTCTTTCACCCTTTGTCGCCCGATGTCCGACAGCGACCTTTGCCGGGGGCTCCGCCCACCTGGGCGTTTTCCTTCAGTTTCGTTTCGGAGCTGTTCGCGGTGAAGGCGTTCCGGGAATTGTGAATCGGCTCTTGAATTTCCGAGGCTTTTCTCGCGAAAGCGTGCTGTCCATCATCCTATTTCTGAGGTTCTTTATTGCAGTATTTTGGTTCTCGCTCTTGTTTTCTGACATGAGTCTCATATTTTAATTAGCGTGGCCTGCTTTTACGTGGGGTTTCATGTTCCCCTTATTTCCCAGACGAGTTGTTTTGAGATGTCGAGAACATTTTTTGTTGTTCGTAGCAGGCTTCATAGAATTTTCCACACTTTCTCATTTTGCCTCGAAATCGTGCTGAGCAAAGCTGGTAACGTGCACTTGATTTTCTCAGGCTTGCAATTACAAGCAGACAGAGTAAAATGGGGGTTACACCTGATCGATTTTGTCACTAATCGAGTACAGCGACCGAAAATGGAGGGAAAATCCGTTTTGGGGACATCGCTTTCAGTGCTTTGGGCGATGCAGTGCGGTTTTTGTCGTCCTCCAAGGAGCTGAAATTGCGTCTTGAGGAAGAGTCTCGGCGATTTTTCGTCGTCGAAATGAACATCACAGCCTCGTCTATCACCACTGCGCGCAGCTCGTTTCACACTCGCTCATACTTTCCCGAGCTGATCCCCGAGGACATTGTGATCGGTAGTCTTGTCAAGTACGTCTATGATATGAAATTCTGACATAAATGTGGCGCAAGCTCAAAGAGCAAACTTGGACAGCCATTCTCCCTGCAGTCACTTTCCAAGTGCAAGTTTTGCCATGGAAACCTCTCCGCCTGGTTTTTCCATTTGGCTTGTGGGAATCTTTTTTGGTGCACTCATTCGTATCTTTTCGCCTACAACTGGTTTGTCAGGTTACGTGTCTTGAGTTTGTCCAGGTGTGCTTTTTTGAGACCCAAGTTTTTCTTGTTGGCTGAGGTTTGAGGTTTGAAAATTCTCAGTCATTTACAACGTCTCTGCTGCTGTCATTTTTCCCGAGCTCATCTTTTTCTCGACTCTGAAACGCTCTTTGTTTCGCGACCTTCGTTCTGTCTGGCCGTCCGTTTCACGTCTTTCCGTTCTTCCTTTGAGTGTAATTGTTCATTCGTATGCTGAATTCTTTTCTATCTGACCTAGTTTTCATGAGGACAAACAGCAAGTGAAAGCTATTGAGGGAATGGGAGGATCCAGTAGATTGCCTTGTGTCTCTTGTCACAATAATAAAGCTTAGGTTGAGAGCTTCTGTGTACAGGACAGGTAGCAGAGGGATGGGAGACCTCTGCTACCTGTCCTGTACACAGAAGGTTCTCTTTAGGGTCGGTTTCCTCATGATGTGGTAGATTGAATTTTTCCTCGCTGTCCCGTAGCTCTGTTCGGTTCCCTTTTGGTTAACATTGTACATCATAGTTCTTGACCTTTTTGCTTGTTTACAAGTGCTTTACACCCGCTCTTCGTGAAAACGACCGCTTTTTTGCTCTGGGCAGGTTGAGGCTCGCTAGACCCCTTCATGGCCCTCTCCGTCTCTCGTGCTTTGCACCCGTCTAGCCTTTTTTGAACTGATATATAACCTCATTCCTTCCAAATAATATTTCTGATGAGATGAGCCCTCGGAATCCATACCTCTGACCAACTTGTAGTTTTTAATCACGTTCCAATCCTTATCATGTGGATCCACTGCGCCTTCTTGAATCTTTTGTAAATGACCTTCGTTTAGAAATATTCCATCGTTTGGCTCGATTTTTTAAGTTGCATTTATTCGTGCACGAAGAAACGGAAAGCGCCAATCCCTCGAAATTTATGAATTTGTGGATTCGTTGAAGTGTTCATTAGTTTGACAGCTTTTGAAATATGGACTGCGAAGCAAAAACAACTGCCACTCTTGCGCTTATGGCCGCGGACGGGACAACGGCGTCCATTCGGAAGATGCTAATGCTGTCTGTCCGTCGTGTTCTTCCCCATTCGGACCCCATTCCCTCATTTTTTGTTTGTCGAGAGGAATCGGTGTTGACCACGAGGTTTTGCATCGTTGAGTCCGAGCTGTAGCCTTTTGAGGGTCTCTTTGTTTTCATCTGCCTTTCGAGTTTGGAAGTCCTCCTATTTGCAACACGAGTTCTTTCTTGCTTAGACGTATATCATCCACGCGCGCTTTGACTTTGACATTTTTTTTCAGAAATGATGAGGTCCGTTCTCTCCCCAATTGCTCATTGCTCATTGCTTATCGGACCACAATGGCGAGCAGCTTGCTGGCCGCGGTAGGCTTGTCTAATGCCGGAAATGTTTCGTACTGTAGCCTTTTCCGCCCACATCTCTCGTCTTTCCACCGTTTTATCCTTTTGAAAGATGTAAAAGATTACGAAAATATTCTCGGCAGTCCTGTTTTTGTTCGAGTCTCAAAGATCGATTTCTGCATTCGTTCGGAGAAATCCGTTCTATCCTACAAAATGTGATATTACTGATAGCTTATTTCCCTTTGGGCAGCGTGTGTCGATGCGCGGTCGTTCGTTTCTACGTCGGCATGTTCGTGGTCTCCTGCGGGGTAAATTTAGCCCATCGCCGAGTTTAGAGGACGCGCCCGAAGTTGAGGTGAGGGTTGTAGAGTCTGTTGGGCAGAGGCTATTCGGGATACTTATCATAATGATATTTAATATTATATAAATCTTATCGAATGCTTTATCAGGGTGCTCAATTCGTTTTATTCAGTATGACCCACCGACTCCGACGTCGACACGAAACAACAAAGTCTTTCCTATCACAGTGTCAGTTTGCGGCATATAGATGCGTCGTCGGTCTAGACTTCCCTGCAGTGAGTGAGATTATTCTCTTGTGATTTTGGGCCTCTTCAGGAAAACCTACCCATTTTTCAGGTATTATTTTGGTAAAAAACGGCAGACATGACATGTTATACAGCTCGAAAACTTCGATACGGATATTTTCGCGAGCTACACAGGACCCGATGGAGGATTGACACAGGTGTGTGGGGTTGAGAATCGTGGGGAAGTGTGAAGGGAGAGTGCAAAAATCACTGCGAAAGGTCATTGGTGATGATTTTCACGCTCCAGCCACTCCTCGCAGTGGTTTCTGGTTTTAAGAACGTAATTATTGCGTCGTGGGTGCGCATTCTCGCCCCGACTACCGACGACTGGTTAATAATAGTTGACAATGGCTTGCATAAAAAACATTGTGGTGAATTGATCATTGGTGAGAATGCGGCCAGTTGAGAACACTCCGGTTTAGGGTTCCCAACGAATTCGTTTTCGCAGAGTCATAATGCCTTTCATGTTGCTAGCCCGCTCGATAAAGTGGACATTTCGCCAGCTTTGCTGTTCCAAGTTTTTAGACGGTTTTCGTGATGATCATTGCGTAGTCGTTCAGGTTTTTGCACCAGAAGATGATGACCATGAAGAACTGAGTCTGGAGTAGTTTGCTTCCATGCTGATTGGTGCATGTGACCGAAAATAATTGTGTTACGGGGGGGGGGGAGGGTGGAAGGGCAGGGGGCAGGGGCAATGGAAAGGCGACCGTTTTTCTCCATGTTTAACGTTGGTCACATTTTGCGGGATTTATAAGCGGTGCTTCTAACTAAATATTGAAGCGCACAAAACCCATATTCGCCTCCTACACAGTGGGGCAGGCAACTAGGGAATATAGCTTACCACAAAAATGTTGTGCACGCTTTCTGCTCAAAGAATCCCTCAACGGGTCGTGAACCATTGCGACGTTCTCTGGAAGGGCGGTCGGCCGAGGTCTTGGAGTCAGACTCGTTGCTGGTTGCCCTGGAAGTTGTAGCTTATGCTGGAGCAGTTGCTGTAGATCACCTTGTACTCGATGGCATATCGGACGACTTCTTATTCTGAATGCGATGAGGGCTGAGGGCAGTGAATAAGGGATATTTGTGCTTATGGAGGGCCATTTTAGGAATATATTGCCGTGGGATTCCCAGTAACGATGGCGCCCTGTACGGCGAAAAGTATGCTGATATCCGCCATGCGTTATAACCAAAAATCATTTTTGGCCTCTCAATATGGAGAACACAAATTCAAATCAACTGAAGTTTTCCCAATATGTTGGATGCGTGGCGCATCCCTATCGAAAGCCTGCAAGTACGTGTCTGTGAAGCTCTCAGAGTATTGTTCTCGGACTTACGTTTCTTGGCTTCTTTGACAAGGCTTTCGGCGGCTATGAATAGCCATCTCAAGGTTGTCGAAATACCAAATCAATTTGTACCTAATTTGGCACAACTGCAGCTTCAAATTTGTTACACGATCTTGCGCACCTACGCTTTTTTTACAGGCGTGAATAAGCATTTTCGTACGTTGTGCTTCAAAAAGTACGAGCCAATAGTATCATTTCAGTCGTCGTTGAAGTGTGTTGAGTGTTGACCTCTTCAGCTTAAAGCAAGTGCTCGGTGGGCTACATTTCGCTGCTGTTTGCGCAGCGTGTAGCGTGTGTCAATAGGGGCGCTTTCACAGTGAGCTGACCAAGCTTTTTTGACCGCGCGTTAAGTGGTGTGAACGCGAATTTGAATGGCCTTGTGAACAGCGGTGACGCGGTTTGTGATGGCCAGCGGGAGATGACATCTCGTGCGATGGACAGGTGGCAATGAAAGTGGCCGGCGTTACCAGTTCTTTCACACGATCTTATCGTAGCGTTGAGATGTGGTTGCTGTTGATGGAACGCCGTTGATTTGCTGTGAAGAAAGTAACTTCTTCAAGGACATCGCGAGATCGTGGGGAGTTTTTCAAAAAGATTGAAATCACTAGTGATGCCCTTTTTGCGATGGCTGGACTTAAAGGGTCATCCCTAGACCATGGAAGTGAAACGCGCTCATAACTCGGGACTTTGGTCAAGAAAGCGCAATCCAAAGCTCAGTGCTTGTTTAGGGCAGCAGGCGGTCAGACTGCTTATAATATGGTGTGAACCATAACCCAGGTCGTATTGACCCTACCTTTTCCAAGGAAATCGCCTTTGTCGATTAGGTTTAGGTGACCAACAGGTTTGTAAGTTTTCTTATGGTTTGGATGCAGCCAAACCTAGCTATCGCATCTCTACTTTTATAATAGTTCGCTAGCTGACTTGGGTGAGAAACATGGAATTCATGGGTACTGCTATTTTTTGGAGGTATTTTCAAGAAGTGTTTAGCAAAAGACCAAAATATCCAGGTCCAGAACTGTCGAAGTGTTCAGGTCGGTGAGATGCGCCGTCAGCCGTTGGTCCGAATGGCGAATTTGGACGACGAGATGAGTTTATCCACGGATGGCATAAGTTTATCGGATGAGACTGACGAAGATGAAGAGGACGTCGACCAGCCAATTTCGGCCCCCTTAGGGCGAGATAAGGATAAAAACAGGTGTGATACTGAAAAAAACATATGTTTTGCGCACAATTTATGGTCTCTTTTGTTTTCCAATTGTTGCTATTTTATTTCTTTTCTTCAGTTACTATGAATAACAGCCAAATTTACTATTTGGCGCGAGTTTGTGAAAAGTCTTCCCTGTTAGGGAATTCTACCAATTTGTTATTGGAGTTCAAAGCGTACTGCTGAGCAGAACTTTTCCCTCTAATGAGCCGAATGGCATTTCGATATGGTGGAGAACAGATGCGGTGTCTACTATTCGTCCGAATTCTTTCCCACCGGATATCATGGGGCCGATTCCAGGGAAGCTGACCAGAACACCTCGAAATGAGCACCCTAGTCTTGAGTGTCTGTGACAGTAGCGGGTTTTTTCTGGAATCGGCTCAGAAACGGAGGTTTTTGTAGCGTGTGGCAGCTGAATCTCGGTCGAAGGGGGCGTGGCAAGGGTGAGAAAAAGGTATGAAAGTGAGCGGGGAGAACACACAACGGGAGAGCTGCAAACGAGAGATGTTTATGTTCAGTGAATGCACGATATGAAGAATGTTGAAGTAGAAGATCTGCACGAAAAAAGTTGATTTTTCTTATATTAGTGGGTTGTGAATGACGTTACAGGTACGACACGGCGATGGGCATGTTAATTTGCGCAAAAATGGGAAGGTGGAGCGAGAGCAAACTTTTGTGATCGTGGCTATGAGCCCCTGGAGTCAAGTGCAGACTTTTGGCGATGTCAGAGAGCTGTAGATTCCGTGGTACATGCGTCATCTGGTAGCGTGACGTTGGGCAGATATGCGAGATCTCCTCTGACAATTTCTTTGAACGTATTCGATTGCCGGGAAATCGCGATCACAGGTTAAGTGACCAGATGGAGATGGTCGTTAAGGTAGAAGGGCTAAGGAACCAAACCTGCGCTTGCTGATCTGCACTGGGTCTTTCTTCAGATCACCCCAGTTACATATCTGATTACCGTAGTGCGCCCGGGTTATGATTCTTTTCGTCGAGAAGACTATTCAAAGAATTTGAAAGACTCTACAGTGCAGAAACTGCGCCCAGTTTTACAGCTGCACCTGGTTCCAATCCGTTGCCGCGTCCTTTCGAGTAAAACCAAGACGAGCCAACTCGAGTGCTCCGGTTAGATGTGGGTCTTGCTCATAAATTCTCTCACAATGTCACCGCTCCATTTGATAGCCCTCACTACGGTGGATTTCGAGACAAACACCTACAAATCTGCACGGATTTGGTTGATGCTGCATGTGTTGCTGGAAACTTTCCTCCAAATTTCTCGTTATCTCTGACGGATAGCTTGCGTTGGCGTCCAAAACCCACACCCACGACAAAAAACACAACAAACACAACAAAAACCGCACACCCCCAGAGTTGCGTCTAGGAGTTTCGCCGTCGAGGTAGCCTTCAGAATCTCTGAGATGAAAGCAAAGCAAGCAGTGAATCCTGTCGATTTGTCTGGTGGTTTGCCGATGCCTGAGTCCGCCATCATGGAGAGCCCGAAATCGAGTCTTTTCCTCTACAGAAAGACGGAGACCACGGGCATCGCGAGAAGACTAGTCGGTTCTACATCTGGTACAAACACGCACTTCGGTTGGATCAGGAAAATTTATTTCGAGAAGTATACTAAGAGTGGACGTATATATGAAACAGCACGCCTACGAACATCGAAAAAAAGTCGTCTTCTAAAACTTAGACCGTAATCATCGAGCTTGCTTATGAGAACGTTGCATAATTTCGTAGTAATTTTTTAAAACAGTGAATCGCCAGATAATGTATGACTCGACCCAAATTGGGCAAAGTCTTCAAGAAAGGTTTGGCTAAATCCAGGGAGGGGGCGAATAATACCAATGAAAGCACATGTATTAGACTAGATACGGTGAGAACCCTGCATTGATTTTCGTCCGTTTAGAATGAAGAAGTGATTCCGCGTTGGCCATGCCCTGGGCCACACATCCTACACCCATGCCAGGATGTAAAGACGTTTGTGTTTGAGCTAGAGACTGCGGCTGGTAGGCTCTGGAGATGCGATATCAGTATATCTCTCTCCGCTTAAGTTCAGCACTATTTGGCTGGAGAGTGGTACAAAATTCGAGTCGTGTAGATTTTGGGATCATTTAGAAAACTACCCAAGCTGTTCTATAACCCAGCTGAGTTTGCCATTCTCTCGACCTTGCACCCAGGGAATAAATCTTTGAACAGTCGAATATCGACATCAAATGAAGATATTTGCAGAAGTGAAGTCCTGCTGGGTTCGTGTTCGTCCTTGATAGGGCCGAACGGCCATGAAGATACGCCGAGCAGCAGAGGTGCAGGTACGTGCAAAGCAGTTCCACCTTGTTTTTCATTTCGTTTTTTTCCTTTTTTACCTTATTCGTTGTCGGTTTCATTTTTGGTGTGATCAGTCAGTGCGGATACTTTTTCCCGGATATTTCATTTTTTACTGGAAGGACGGCTGAGCAAATTTTTCCATAGAGTTTTTTGTTCGCTTATTTGCAGCGCGCAATTTGCTATCTTTTCTACGATCTTCTCAACTTCTCTAACCTGTTTTTTTCCGAGTATTTTAAGGTGGAAAGCGCGAATGGTTCCAGGTTACCATTGTAATTTTAATCTACATATGATTTGATTTATTTTTGTGTGTATTATTGTAATTATGTGTTATTTTTATGCCCCAGACGATATGTCATGCGTTGGGATTAGCTTCCATCTCAGGATTTCCATCATAAAATGACCCTGTTTTCACGAAAACCTGGTAACGGCGGTTGGTATGGCAGGACTAACTAAATATGGATGAGGGCAGTAGTACGTTACAGGTAACTTTTGAAATCCACAGCAAGAATGCTTGGATACCATTTCTTCCTACAAACTCTCACCCACTCGTACGACGTAAACCGTAGCCCATATTGAGCTAGGTACATATGGCTCCCGGTAATTGAAGTAGAGACAGTCTTTGAGTTTCGGATGGTTGGGAAGATGAGTTTCCTAGTCAAGCGTGAGAAACTTCTTCAAACTGGTGCTCTTTTTTGTGTCAGAATT